GATGCAACTGAACTAGAATATTGTTAGAGACCCATAGAATATTATAAGGACAATGCTGCTATTATGCTGAGATGGTTGCTTTGATAGTTAAAATTAAAAAAACTTTTTTTTAATTTTTTATGAACCATAAAAGAAAGTGTCACTTTTTTATAACAATTTTGTAATTTTATCACGATGAGCTAGAAATTATGCTTGCGATGCACTTAGAAAAAATTCAAAAAATTATGGATAAAAATGTGGTCGAAATAAAATGGTCCAGAACCCGCACTTTCTTATTACTTGACTAAACTTTCAATTATAATTAGCCGTTTTTTCTTAAGTCTTATTGAACTCTTTAAGCCTAAAAATTTGTCACCTTGTTTATTAGGAATTACTTAAGCAGCTTTGAAAAAAAAACCAAAAAACAATCGAAATAACTTTGATAAGAAAGAGTTTTGCGGTACGTTATACCGTATAAACACCTAATTACGGATGAAACCTTATAGCGTACACTTTGAAGTAAAAGTTAAATAACTTGTTTGTTATAAAGAGTTTCGAAATAAATAAAAAATTTCTTGTTCTAATTTCATTTTCATATTTTTATATTGACCAGTCGTACTACTTTTTAGTTGGTTTCTCATCTTTAAATATGTGAGATATGTTAAAATTTAATCAAATAGTTTTCGACAACAATCAAAACGTCACTTCTCTTCAAAGCAATACCAATATCGCTTCTAAACTTTAAAAAATCAACAATAATTGCTTCGACAATTTGTCTCATTTTTCAAGATAATTTAAAACAACTCCATTAAGTAATAAAAACAATTTCGTTAATTAAGGGCGGAATGCTAGAAGCGAACTTGAAATTTGAAGTCATACTTCAAACATAAAATTTGACATGAGTGTATGCGTTAAGCAAACTTAAACTCATGTTATACTTAAAAACCAACCGTTTTCAAACCCGATTCCAATTTTTTTTTACGCTTTGTTGACCATCCTTCCACTGTACGGAGTAAGGTGTAATGTTCGAGCGACATATATGTCTTTTTGTTCGAGTAATACAGCTGCACACACTGTTCTGCACAATTTTTGAGAGATTCGTGAGAGTCGATCAGCCAAATTTATTTCGGATGGAATCCATTGTACTACAATCTGGATACCTTTTGCCACTACCTTAATAGTATTTACCGTCTTTGTACTAACAACTGAGAAATTGCACGAGTTTTTACGCAATATTCTTCCTTCAAAACTGAGTTTAACCATTCTACAGTGCTCTTGCTATCACTGTGTACTGGTAACTCTTTTATGTCCCACTTACTAGCTAAGTTTAGTCCTCGAAGTATCGAATCCAGTTTACTTATATTGATATGGTGTGTGTCACTTGCTGGCCGTAGCCATGCTGCGTCTTCAACAACTACTCCACCAATGAGCAGAACTACCCCAAGTCTTATGGATGATGCATCACAATAAAGCTCAGCTTTTCCATTCACTGGTACCAACCATTTTCCACTACCCGGATTCTCCTTTTCCACACGGTGAAGAAAATCTTTCAGTTTTTCTTTACAATCTTTTGAAATAAAATCACACCAAGGTATATTTCCAGCTAAACGTTTGATGTATGAAGCTTGTAAACGCAAACTTCCTGCCACCGGGTAATGTCTAATGAGTTTACCTAACTTGCTAAAAAGCTGCGATCGTGTGACTGCATTTAAAGGTTCAAATTGTACCACATTGTCTTGTTTCCACATCAGTTCCCCATTTTTATTTATTTCGACTCTCAATCTTAAGACACGTCCTCGTTCAATATTTTGTAGAGGTTTAAATGGAGGTTACATTGTAATCCAAATTTATGCAGACGCTTTGCTACATTTTCCGCAGTTTCCACACTTTCATCCACAAATATATCATCAATGTAGTTTTTACATGCTTTCTTTACAGTTGGATTTAAATTGAGCACATGTCGAAGAATTGTGGTAATTATTGTTGGAGCCACATTAATTCCAAAACACATTCTGGTAAAACAATATCGTTTCCTATTTATAATCACCGTTTGATATGGACAGAGTCTTTTATCGATATGAATTTGGAGGTAGGCTTTTTTAAGATCAAGAATTTTTGCAATTTTAATTTTTCTCTAACAACGCAGTTTTTCTTGACAAACGTCCGCATTCGCTGTATGACAATTTACAAATTCGTTGAGAGCTCGAAAATCTCCCACTGGACGTACCTTTTTGTCCTTATTTTCTTGCACTACGCACATAAGCGGTATCAACACTTTAGGTGGTTCCAATGTTAGTTCGTTATATGGTACAAGAATGCCAGAATTAATCCATTCATTTATTTCTTTGCGGTAACTACGTTTGTAGTCGTGGCTCATCTTGTATTCACAAATGGTATTATCAATTACAGGCTCTTTATTCCAGTTCCATGATGTCATCCACTTTTTCCAGTCAAAATTTGCTGCGAAGTCCTGATGTTTTATTTCATTTCTTTTGTTTTCTTCATTTGTATTTTTGACATCATATTTTATTTCGTTTATTTCGTTTTTGTTTTTTATCGTTGTAGTAACGGCACCACATTTCTTTGTGTCACATGCTAACATTCGGACAGTACGGTTTTTATTACCATAAATGATGACTCCTCCAAATTTTTCAATCGCATTCATTCCAAAAATTAAATCAAACCCAAATGGTTTTTCTTTTACAACCAGAGAATTAACAATCCGGTGTATTCCATCAATTTCCAATTTGATTACCGTTTTACCAAGCACATGCACAGCTCCACCCAGAGTTGTGATAAGTTTTTGACTTTTTAAAACAAAACCATGCGTGGATTTAGCATATATCACAGTGATGGAGCATCCAGAATCAATTAATGCTTTTCGGAGCATTCCATTTATTTTCACTTTTAATGATGGCAACGTCATTTCTGGGAGAATACTGGATGCCATTATTTCCAAATTCTACCTTTTCCTTTTAAACTTTGCAATCATTTGAAGCAGTCTTTAGCTTGATGATCGTGTGAACAAGTCTTACATTTTGCTTTGCAGTCCCGTGCAAAATGCCCAAGTTTCCCACAATTTAAACATTTAACTTTGTTTGTGTCGGACAGACTAGATGTCCGCGGAAGTAACGATGTTGTCGCAATCATTACATTATCGAAACCATCTATTTGTCAAACTTCCTGGGTTACTCGTTCAAGGGTAACAGCAATTTCCACAGCCTTTGCAAACGTTAGTTCTTCAGATTCCAGTAATAACCGTTTGATTGTAACGCCATCATTATGAATTGGTCGCGCATTCGATCATCTCTATCCGTGAATTTGCATCCATCAGCAGCTCTTGCAATTCGTCGTAAAAATTCCGTCTCACTTTCGTTACTTGCTTTTTTAATAGTTGCAAATTCAAAGCGTAGTATTAACGATGACTTCGGTTTAAAAAGCTTCATGATGTTTGCCTCGATGTCTTCGTAGGTAACTGAGTCATCTTCTGGGTATGTAGGCAAGCATAAATCTTCCAGTGCAGAATAAATCTGTGGTGGCAAACATGTTAATATTATTGTTTTCCTTTTGGATTCGTGTACGTCCATCGCAGTTATGTATGTTCGTAGTTGGCGGACAAACCGCTGATGGTTGCCATCGAATGTCGGTGGCATAATTGCCGAAATAGTTTGTTGGATAGTCGCGTCCATGAATTAATAAACAAAACGCATTATTTTAGAGCTTTTTTCTAACCTCACTAATTCTATACAAAAATCGTCGCTCAATACATAAAATAACAAAAAGTCCCATGAGAATACTTTTAATTGAATATAACGCATGACTTTCAACTCGTATCTACGTGATATTCAACATTAGGGTGGAGCGATTTGCATACTTTTTTGGAAATTCAACTTTAGTAACCCGGGAGTTAGTTCAACAGGGTAAAATATGAGCTCATAAAAAATTTCAGCTCTCCAAAATAAAAAATGGCAAGCTTAATCGACTTTGAAAAAATGCAAAAAAACGCAATTTTTCTTAATTTTCACGTTTTTTATACAATTTACAAAATCAATTATTAAAAAAGTCAAACCAGTCAACAGTTTTTTTTTCAAATAAATTTATTCATTATAAAATGGTCAAATAAATTAATAATAAATTATAAAAATTTTATTTAATATAATGGTATATAAGCAATACACGCATTGAAACATTTAATTTATTTTTAGCTAGTTTGTATAACTCATTTAAACTCATAATTATTAATATAAAATACAATCAAGTTTTGAACCGCAAACTTAAAATTACTTATATAACTAAACTGTATATACAAAGTTTACTTATGTAAGTTATTTTTAGATTTTTAAGGTAAAATTAGTTAAAAATTATGTATAATTATATACTAAAGAATTTAGATAATTATAGTTATATAGGTCTTAAAAGTGCTTACAAACAACTTGAGTAATTTTGACCTCAAGATTATCCAAGATGTAAGTAATTAATAATTACCAGATATGAATAAAGGATTAATAAATTAAACAATTTATTAATCCTTTATTCATAAAGGATTAATAAATTGTACCAATTACGTTTAAAGTATTTTGACTAAATACTTTAAACGTAATTGGTACGTGTACCCATTTCGTTTAAAATATCTAGCCAATCGTGAATTTAGATAAGGCTGAAGCATTACGCTATTTGCAAAAACCTTCAAAAATTATTTCTATGACCCCTATAGTGTATAATTTTTTATTCGAAAACAATGATTATTACAGTGATCAACTTAATAAACGGGTAATAAAAAAAAGCCATGGATAACCATCACCAAAATCCGAACATGTTTTTAAATAGTTTTTTTTTTTGTTTTTAACACTATAAACTTAAATTCACGAGTATAAGTGTTTATCAAGATTTCAATTGCCAAAGGCGAAATATTTCTAAAATAAATACCTTGCAAATATGAGTCGAACACTTTGCCACTACCCTACTACTGCATTGGTCCTAAATCCTAAACACACTTTCATATTCCTCGCATTGAAAAAGTAAGTACATTTACATAAATATGTTTTATTAACATCAAATGCATAAAAAAATTTATGATTAAAAAACCACAAAGTCGTTTTTAGTTTCGAAATATGGTCGTATTTCCCTGGATTTTAGTTTAGTTAAAATATATTTATGACGAGCTTCCCTGCCATATACTTGGTGACTAGCCTCTGTAACTAATTTGACAGCGCGTTCTACGCTCTGCGCGTGAGAAGGAAATTCAGGTAAGTTCGGAACTTCTTTAGTTGCAATTAGTGCATCAATTTTGTCATCCTTCAACCATATTGTTGATACCGGTTCACTGCTTTTCTTAAAATCAACTAATTCTATCCAAGAAGTTGCTTGAAAGTTTATCTTAACATTAGCAATATTTGTAATACGGCACTCTTTATTTTTACTTGTCCTAAGTTTTTTAATGACTAGAACGCATGTTTTAGATTCTTCATCTCTAAGCATACAATATAAAACGTTCTCTAGCAATAGACAATATGAACTTTTTTTTAGATTTTTAAAATAAATGCTTTGCATTTCTTCATCTTGCTTCCTTATCTGTTCTGTCATTTTAAAGAATAAACTTGGAGAATCCATAAATTTAGAAGACTTTTTGATAAGAAACCAAGTGTATGCAAACACTTGTACAATAAACTTTACAAGCCTTACATGATCAAGACTTGGTGCTTCAGTACGAGTATACAAAGCCATAACTCGAATTGCTAAAGTCAACCATCTTGCGTCGTTTAGTGGACCAATTTTTCTTCTAAAAAATATGTTATTGACAAATCCTTTAGAATTTCGAAGACTATATTCAAATAATAGTCTTGGATTGTGGCTTAAATCATTTATCACTTCAATGGGAATATTTAGTATCTCTACTGGAGTATCAATTTTGGTAAACTTCACTTGTGGGTTAAGATGGAAATCTATAGAAACTTGTTTTCCAATAGGTCCTGAAAATTTATTTAAACACTTTGAACTGCCATCAACTATTTTGAATACTTTTCGAAATAAAAGTTCATTGTGATGCAAAGTACAACCGATAAGGTCTAATTTCTTTTCTTAACATGCAACAATTCCAGTTTTGAAACCAGTTTTGACATTTATATTATCAAGAAAATTATTATCGAGAAAAAGTATTGTCCAGTTTTGACATTTGTATTATCGAGAAAAAGAGCTTGTACTGAATTTAAACTATCATACTCATTCAGAACATTATATACAATTTCACTTTGAAGCAAACCAGTTGCACCATTTGATGGAAGATTTTTATGAGAGAGATATGAACCATTTTTAAAACTATTTTCATCAGTAAAAATTAAATGATGTTCTTTTTCAGTAACTCTCGGCAAGCGAGTTTCTCCATTTTCAATGACATTCTTAAACTGAAGAACATTTTTACCATCTTTACCATCAACACCCAAACACACCAAGTTACTTAATTTATTATCATGTTGATTACCATATCTTGACATTACTTTCTTCTTCTCTCTATAAAACAACTCAAAGTATTATATTTAGCTAAATATCATATTAAATGTTTTGTAAATGAGCCTTTATATAAATTATTAAATAAAGATATATATTTATATTTGTCTAACTTATATAATAAAATAGTATTTACCTCTCAATTTTGCTTCGATCTACAACTTGGTTCAAATCTGCATATTTAATGATTCCAAAATCTAGAAGTAGAGCATTTGCAAGTGCAGCTGCAGCACGAGATGAGACATCATACCTACAAATAAGAAACTATGAAATAAATAAACATATCTGAAAAAGCAAAGTATATTACCTTTATGTGATCCTTTAACATTCTATATTCACCCTCCCATATTAAAAAAAATTTACTGGGGATTAAAAATATTGTTTGTTTTTTTCTCACATTTTTAATATAGTATATATAAAAAAATTCTTATCTAAACTCAATATGTATAAAAATTTTATATACCTGACAGCCTCCATTGCAAATCTATCAAGTTTCATTAAATTATATTGAGAACTTTTTACTGGATTATATTCTTCCTCAGAATCATTTACCTGTAAAAATTCTTAGTTTTCAAAATATGAAAAAAAAGTCATATATCTCAAGCAGCATACTTTGTAGGACCAACATTTAAAAAACGTTGAAATCATTGAAACAAAGCTATTTTAGCGTTGCCGGGCAATGGTTGCCCCAACAAAGTGTGCTTTTTGTGATATGTATATATATATATATATGTATATATATATATATATACATATATATATATATATATATATATATATATATATATATATATATATATATATATATATATATATATATATATATATATATATATATATATATATATATATATATATATATAAAATAGTACAAACACATCTAATTTTTTTTTATATTCTATTAGTATAGTCAGGAAGCTTCCTGATGAACTTACTGATGGTGACACAAGTTATTTAAGGAAAAAAATTAGATGAGTGTTTTTACAAATTCACTATTGCTCTGTTCTTTAAGAACATTGAGCACTTTTTAGGACCAATCTTATTTCTCTGGTCACGAATATATGCCTTGTCTTCAAAAGGGACCGTAAATACAATTATTGAAAATAATCAACTACTTCAGTTTAATTGAAGTGAAATAATTATATATAATTAATAAATAGTTGCAGATTAAAATAACAAATATTTTAGTATATACAACAATATATAAAAAATGTAATCAAATACCTTTCTAGTTTTACAAAGACACAAGATGTGCTCTACTTGGCAATTGATGATGCTACACTTAACATCTCTGTCATTACATAAACAGTTGCTAATTCACAAGTACATGATGAAATATCAAAGAGTTTATCTAAAATCAAATCTTGATACTCCTTACTTTTAGATTTACAACGTCCTCGGTTTATAGATTTTACTCTTTCAAAATAATTTCGTAATTTTCTTAAGATTTAATTTCTCTGAAGAAGAGGAAGACGTGAGTTTACTTTATTCCACAAAGTACTCAGAGGATTTTCAACCTCTTCTAGTAGATTCTGTTTTGAAATGTTTTGGTTATTGTTTTCAGTGAAATAAAAAAAACTGAATTACTTGACGAAATGTTGGAAGATCAGCTGAAGGCATTTCTGATAGGAGACCTCCGTATTTCAGGCTATTTTCTAAACGAGTTTTCCTTGATTTGCTTTTAGGCATTTTTTCTATAAATTATTTTCTATTTATAAATTTCAACAAAACAACGCGCAAAGCGCATGCCTACTTTAAAAAGAAATTCGAAAAATGGCGGTTTTCCACAAAAATAGATTATGTCTTAATAAATATACCTTTTTGTAAACCAGCCATTTTCCAGGCATTATTAGCAAATACATGTTATATATATTATTATTATTTGATAATCTATTTTATATATATATATATATATATATATATATATATATATATATATATATATATATATATATATATATATATATATATATATTATATATATATATATATATATATATATTAATTTATAAAAATAAAGATAACAACTTTTTATGGTACTAATAGTTTCATGCCTAAAGGCAATCATCAGCCATGCAATACAAAACAAGAAACAAAAAAAACCGTTAAAATATAAAGTTACAGTGGAGGAGTGTGCTCCGTTGTCAAAACAAAACAAATACAAAATGATAAGAAAAAACTAAAAACAGCTGCCTAATCACCCGTATCGAAATTCGAAAGGAGGAATTTGCTTTTATGTCTACATTTAGATACTAATTCATTCCTCTTATTTAATAAGTTATCATAGGTGTACGATATTATGAAATACTTTTCGTATAGACATAAGTAGCATCGTTTTATTGTAGGATTGTAAGATCTACAACGTTTTAAAATTTTCCATTTAATTGTCGGGTTTACTCTATTTTCTTTTAACTTCCATACTTCCTTAGACAACTCAGTATCGTTTTTATACTTTTCGATATTAAAAGATTTTGTATGATTAGCGTATCTAAGTTTAAAAGCAGTTTCACTTCTCCAAAATACACTTTTTCAAACCCGTCTGGAGTGCCTGGATATAGAGTGGCTTGATACACTATGTTATTAACGAGGCACTGTTGATTTAAAGGGCACTTGCTTTTAGTAATACAATTGCAACTTTTATCTGATTCTGGGGGGATGTTTTTCATAATATGACGGTTATGAAAGTTAACGATTGATTTAATGTTTGGCATACAACTGTAACTCACCTTTAGAGTATTTCTATTAAAAATCTTGTGGTATTTATTGCCAACTGGAAAGTGCTTGTCAATTAAATCCAAAAATATTTTACCAATTTTAGTAGAAACAATTTTACTATATGGGGGGTTAAACCAGATAATAATAAAGAATAATAAGACAAACTAATAATTAAACTAATAATAAGAAGACAAACTAATAATTAAACAAGCTCGAAAATCGTTGTTGTTTAATAATGAGCAACCTTGGATTAAAAAGAACAGTGGTTTGTTTGATGTTGCAAAGGTTGCTTTTGACGGCGCAGAAGTATGTGAGCTTGTCGGAATTTGTCTTCTTTTTCAGCTATCCCAGCATTATAACAAGGCAAATTTTGGCTCATACCGAGATGATGGGTTAGCAGTTTTTAAAAAATGCTAGTGGCCACCTTATGGACACGATAAAAAAACATATTATTCAAATTTTTAAAAATAACAATCTTTCTATCTCTATACAATGTAACATGAAAGTTGTGAACTTCCTTGATGTAACACTTAACCTCAATGATCAATCTTTTAGGCCATTTTGTAAACCAACCAATGAACTAAATTATATACATGTTGATTCCAATCACCCTCCTAGCATAATAAAGCAACTTCCTCGTTCTATAGAATTAAGGTTGTCAGCTAATTCATCTAATGACACTAGCTTTCGAAGCTCTGCTCATTTGTATCAGGATGCATTAAAAAAGTCTGGTTACAAATTTAAACTTAATTATATTTCGAAACTCATTCAATCTCTACCCAAAAACCGTAAGCGCAATATTATCTGGTTTAACTCCAGTAAAAATGTTTCTACTAAAGTAAAAATGTTTCTACTAAAGTAAAAATGTTTCTACTATAGTAAAAATGTTTCTACTAAAATTGGTAAAATATTTTTGGATTTAATTGACAAGCACTTTCCAGTTGGCAATAAATACCACAAGATTTTTAATAGAAATACTCTAAAGGTGAGTTACAGTTGTATGCCAAACATTAAATCAATCGTTAACTTTCATAACCGTCATATTATGAAAACATCCCCTCAGAATCAGATAAAAGTTGCAATTGTATTACTAAAAGCAAGTGCCCTTTAAATCAACAGTGCCTCGTTAATAACATAGTGTATCAAGCCACTCTATATCCAGGCACTCCAGACGGGTTTGAAAAAGTGTATTTTGGAGAAGTGAAACTGCTTTTAAACTTAGATACGCTAATCATACAAAATCTTTTAATATCGAAAAGTATAAAAACGATACTGAGTTGTCTAAGGAAGTATGGAAGTTAAAAGAAAATGGAGTAAACCCGTCAATTAAATGGAAAATTTTAAAACGCTGTAGATCTTACAATCCTACAATAAAACGATGCAACTTATGTCTATACGAAAAGTATTTCATAATATCGTACACCTATGATAATTTATTAAATAAGAGGAATGAATTAGTATCTAAATGTAGACATAAAAGCAAATTCCTCCTTTCGAATTTTGATACGGGTGATTAGGCAGCCGTTTTTAGTTTTTTCTTATCTTTTTGTTTTTGTTTTGTTTTGACGACGGAGCACACTCCACTGTAACTTTATATTTTAACGGTTTTTTTTTTGTTTCTTGTTTTGTATTACATGGCTGATGATTGCCTTTAGGCATGAAACTATTAGTACCATAAAAAGTTGTTTTCTTTATTTTTATAAATTAATATAATGCTCTATTAAATAATATAAATAAATCCTATTTATTTATTATTGAGCACTCTTATACGTACAAGAGTTTTTTGTATTTTATTGCAAATACAAAATATCATACAATATATGTATATATATATATATATATATATATATATATATATATATATATATATATATATATATATATATATATATATATATATATATATATATATATATATATATATATATATATATATATATATATATATATATATATATATATATATATATATATATAATATAATATAATATAATATAATATAATATAATATAATATAATATAATATAATATAATATAATATAATATAATATAATATAATATAATATAATATAATATAATAAAAAGTTGTTTTCTTTATTTTTATAAATTAATATAATGCTCTATTAAATAATATAAATAAATCCTATTTATTTATTATTGAGCACTCTTATACGTACAAGAGTTTTTTGTATTTTATTGCAAATACAAAATATCATACAATATATGTATATATATATATATATATATATATATATATATATATATATATATATATATATATATATATATATATATATATATATATATATATATATATAATATAATATAATATAATATAATATAATATAATATAATATAATATAATATAATATAATATAATATAATATAATATAATATAATATAATATAATATAATATAATAAAAAGTTGTTTTCTTTATTTTTATAAATTAATATAATGCTCTATTAAATAATATAAATAAATCCTATTTATTTATTATTGAGCACTCTTATACGTACAAGAGTTTTTTGTATTTTATTGCAAATACAAAATATCATACAACATATTATATTATATTATATATATATATATATATATATATATATATATATATATATATATATATATATATATATATATATATATATATATATATATATATATATATATATATATGTATATATATATATATATATATAAATTTATTTATATAATATAAATTTATTTTTTGAAAAATTTGAAATTTAAACTGTTTTTTCATTATTTTTCAATGTTTAAATTTAAACTGATTTTTATCGCATATTTTGGATTTGTTCTTAAATTTTGTTTCGATTCTATTCACAAAGGATTAAAAAATTTTATTCAAAAAAATTCAACTATAGAAAATTCATTTAAAGTTCTCAAATAAAAGATAACATCAAAAATTGTTGATAATATTTTTATAATAAAAAGATTCTTAACATGAAAAACTTATGTTAAGAAATTAAAATATTTAGCGATGGATGCTTCTTGCGATATTAAATGTTTTCCTCAATCCGAATTACAGCTTGAATTGAGTCATGCTAGCGAAAATGAAACCAAGAACAAGACTATTGTGGTCGAACTTTCTGAAAATCATTATGGTGGGTATGACGAAAATTTTGTAAATCCTCTTCCTAGTGATCTTAAATGTCCCGTTTGTTTCTTGGCATTACGTCAACCAATTCAAACCGAAGAGTGTGGTCATCGTTTTTGTGAATCGTGTATCAAAAATATTAAAAGGTACTATTTAGTTTTACGAGTAAAGAGATTTGACTAATTCTAAGACCTGGACTTGTCTAAAAATGGTGAAACTAATATGATCACATCTCTTTACAAATTACTTAATTTTAATAAAGGTGACTTAAAATGTAAAAGTCTGTCATGTAAAAAGTTTTAAAAAATAGTGGACGTGACTACAATAAGATTTTCTTAACTGTAACGAGGGCCGCTATCTGAAAATTAGGTTTAACTCCATAATAAATAGACAAAAAGGACAAACACAAATATTTTACTGAAAATATTTAATTGTTTAATCTTAGATCATTTTCAACCAATTTATCTAGTGTTACCTAGAATTTCCAACATTTAAAGACGAATATGTAAACGCGTAAAATGGTAATCCCAAAACAACCGCAAAAATAAAAATGCTATGCACCAATCGAAATTTAACAATTTAACTCGTGGTCAAACAATTTCTTTATTAGAGAAACATGTAAAACCAAACTATATGGTCCTAGGCAGTGCCGGGCAGAGCAATTTGGTCCGGCACTGGTCTTACGTACAAAATATGATAGCCTCATGAAAACTGTCATCTATTTACAAATCCGGATTGAGAGGAAACTTATTGAACATTGCATTTACTACTAAGTAACAATAAATATAATATAAAAGAACCTATAGAAAAGCATTTCCTTTAGGATTGTAAAAAAATATAAAATACCAGTTGGAAAACTTTACTTTAGACCATAAAAAAGCATTTCCCGATTATAGTTTGCCGTGGCAACGCTCTCTGAAAATCAAAATAAGATTAACAAATAAAAAAATTTTATAATTAAATACCTGACTGAAAAGCATAACAAAAATTTTTGTAGCTTTCAAATAAAGTGGGGTGGCCCTACATATAATAACTTCCTCTATACATATATTTATATGTTTGCAAAACTACTTTCACATTTGTTTGGATGTTTGCAAAAACAATGCCAAAAATAATATTGCACCCAAGTGTGTAAATAAAAAAAATACGATGTTGTGTTATACTGTAATTATATTTCTTTTGTATATTTACACAAATATTGAGAATCTCGTGATACTTTCATTTATTGCTGCAGATATTTAGATATCTACCAAACAATTTAACATAAGGATCTATAATGTTGTTATCATTGCAAGACGGATATTGATTTGCCAATAAAAAAATACTGTGTTAGATGTACTCCTATTTCATTTGTAGAGCATTGTTGAAATGGCTAAGAGTTAACACCTTATTTCGTGTTCATCTTTCATAAATTGATTGAGTAGACCAGAGTAGAAGGCCAGAGTAGAAGGGGACGGAACTTTAAATTTTATTAGCACAATGAAAGAATGCTATGAATATCCGATAATAAATTTGATAAAAATATCAAGTTAAATGTTCCAAGATATTATTGTAAGCTATCAAACTTATGTTATTCACCAACGTTCAAAATCCAGTTGTTTTCATTCTGGAGTGTCTACTTCATTATTTTCAATATCAAATAACTGATAATGCGAGATTACTTGTCAATGTGGGATATATCGGATAAATCTACCATTAGCAATATCTTTTTTGTAACCTCACAAAAGTAATTTTTGTTTTGCTAAGAACAGTGAATTAGGGTAGATTAGGGTAATATGAGCACCTTGGTAATATGAGCATACTTAAAGAGTTATTAGATGTAAGCAGTGAAGTTAAAGTTGCTTTATATTTTTTGAATCGACTTTATGTGGTGATAACAGGAATCAGTACAATTAGCGTAAATTTATACGCAGTAATTAGCGGATATCATCTAATTAAAACGCTTTTTAATTAGATGATATCCGCTAATTACTGCGGATATCATCTAATTAAAATTAATTTTTTCATAAGGAAAAATATATTAGCTAAAAATCCAATTCATTTTTGTTTGAAAAATAATGCATAGAAACATTTATTTTTGACTTTATTTAAAGATACCATTTTTGTGTAATATGAGCATGCTCAAATTACCCAGTGCTTTTCGTTGAAATTGCTTAGTTTAAAATCCTAAAATAACAATGGTTTTTAATTGGTACTTGAATAAAAACAAAACATAGTAAAAAATTTTAATATGTTAACAATACTAAATACTTTTCTGTAACTTAAATCTAAAAAATTTTAATTTTTATTGTTCAAAGGTTTAAGTTAACAAAATTGAAAAAACAATGTATTATTATTTTTTTTTTTGGCGGAAAACATAGTAGTATTGTTTCAACAAAATGTAGCTTAAAATTTGATATTTTAATGGTATGTTTTGTTAATCACGAATCCTTATATTCCAACAATTAGTTCTATTAAGCAGGTTGGTCTTTTTTTACTTAATTAATGCTATTTTTTTGAGCTAATTTAAAGTGCTCATATTACCAAGTGGTCATGGTAATACGAGCACTTTTGCTACTTTTTTAAAACCTCTGTGTTTTTAAGAAAAAATGTCAAGTGCCCAAATATCTAAATAGATTATGAATAGGGATCCCTAAAAATTGTTTATTTGCAAAAATTTTGGATCCAGTATATTTATTTTTGAAAATATTCCAATTTTTGCTTAAGGTGCTCATATTACCCTAATCTACCCTATCTAAAATTCGTTTTAGAATGCCAAGAATTTTTTTTGTCCTATTAATAAAGCAGAATCAATCACTCATTCGTGAAGTAGTCTTATTTTTAAATCTTTTCAAAAGATAACAGATTTGATATGATGATAAGGCTTGTAAAAACAAAAATTTTATTGGAGGGTGGGAGAGGGCAATACTGCTAGGTTAGGTCAAATCCTTTAAGAATAAAACCTAAATAAGACCTTATAACTTTGCTAATTTTTTTATGTTACAATTTACAATGAGGGGGATTTTGTTTTATATTCTACTTAATTTCTTTAAATCTAATATCTCAGTAACTTTTAATCTAACATCTCAGTAATTTTTACTCTAACATCTCAGTAATTTTTAATCTAACAATTCAGTAATTATTAACCATTGTTTGAAATATTTCACACGAATAGTCCAGCAATTTCGACACAATTGTCAAATATACAAATAATCAAATTTTGGATTCTTTCTACCACCTAATGATATAAAGAAATGTTGATTCAGTGCATACCTTTTTTTTAAATCAAGTAAGTTTTGTCGTTTTTAACTTTGTATCGATTTTACAATTTTACTTTCCCACATAAATCAAATTAATTAATTTTATATATTTTCACGCCTCACAACAAAGCAATGAAATCACTTACTTTGCGTAGCGTTGCTATTAAAAAATGCCGGGCAATTTGGCAAAAAAATCAAGTTTTTATATTTTAAGACTGTTTATAAAACTTTTTCACATAAAGGAGTTAATGATTTTTTTATTAAAAAGACGTACATGCATAAACATATATAATTGAGAATTGTCGTCACTCAAAAAAAAGTGATTACCCAAACTAGACGTTTTACTACCTATTTTTTTTATCTTTTATTTTTGTTTAGTTGTTCTTTCTAAAAACTCACTTCAAAAATATTTATTTGAAAAATATAAAGTTTTTAAGTTTGTTAGAAGTTTAATGGTAACGAAATTGATTCATTGGATTGGTAATAGGAATTTATTGGTAACGAAATTTATTCAATGGACTGGTATTAGAAATTTATTGGTAACGTATTTTTTTCTAAATTGTGTAGGAACTAACCCCATTTTATATTTTAGCATGTATATTAGCGTAGATGTTAACTTGATAAATGTTTAGCGCTTTCATTTCTTTTAATACTATTAAAATGTCTAAATTTAATACTATTAAAGTAATATCTATTCGCAATAGAGGTTTAGAATGAGTCAGTTTGTTTTTATGATGTGTTATTCTAGAATCATGTTTTTGTCGTCAATAAAGGGACATTAGTTTAGTCCTGAGTGATTCCTCAAGTTATTTTGATATTTGTAAGATAACTATGTATAATGGTAAAGTTTTATCATAATTCAGTCTAGTTTTTAAAAGTACACCAAAATATTTTGATAATTTATGGTTATGATTTGAGCAACAATTTCTGGTAGTTTGTATGTGGATATTTTTTACTCAAGGTAATTCTTCTTCTAGTTGTCAGTAAATGTTTTAATATAGTTTAAAATCCCTGTACCATATTGATCTACTGAACCATCTCTTATAAAGTGTTTATTCAGCTCCAGTTTCATTAACGTTATAAATAATAATTCAAAGAAAGGTTTTTAAGATACTTTAAAACATTGAAACTTATTGCTTAAGACAAACTGTTTAATATTGGCATTCTAATGGAAAAATTTTCATCTAATAAATTCTATTAGACGGTCCATTTCAAGTACTTCAACACTAACCAAAATAAAAAGATTAACAAGTTTGTATACTATATATATTTAGTGTTTTTAATTGCAGATGTAGATCATTTGTCATTTTTTTTATGCAATGCAAAAAAAATTTTATTTGTTTGCTATTACTCTTTTTTAGCCAGTGTGTACAAGGTTTTCATAATTTTGTTTTGCCAGTGTGTACAAGGTTTTAATAATTTTGTTTAGCCAGTGTGTACAAGGTTTTCATAATTTTGTTTTGCCAGTGTGTACAAGGTTTTCATAATTTTGTTTAGCCAGTGTGTACAAGGTTTTCATAATTTTGTTTTGCCAGTGTGTACAAGGTTTTCATAATTTTGTTTTGCTAGTGTGTACAAGGTTTTCATAATTTTGTCTAAATTTCGCTTTACTTCTTTTGATTCATTTTTTACTATTTTGAAAATATTTTTGTATTCATTTACGAGAGATATAACTTTTTCATTCTTACAAACAATTTAAAAATTTTACAGTTAATAGAATAGTTTTCTTTATCATAAACTGAGAAACTGATGCAAAAATATAATGTAAATGATCTAATTCCCGAAAGGTAATTTAATGTAAAAGTAGTGAAACCTAAACAATTAAAATTTGTTAACCATTTTTTTATTTTTAAAAATTTAAGATTTCCAATGATGTTGGGTTGATCTCATAATATTTTAAATAAATCCAAACAGATTTTGACTAAATCTCAATGTCGTTTAAAAATAAACACGACATATTGTTAACTAAAGATCTTTTAGAAATTTTTTAGTTAAAGTTTACTTTTAAAATGAAAAATAGCATATAATTTTTATGCGCTATTAATTTTAGAATCGAAGGACAACTATTATGCTCTCTTGACAGACAGATGATTGACTTAAATACGGTGAGTTTTCTCATACTATACATTCGATTATGTCACCATAAAGATAATTATATAAACATAGTTAAATATATAAAAAACGATATTTTTAACTTTACCAAATTTTTGTTTTTATTTTAAAATCAATTTAAAAGTCAATTGTCAATATAATTTTATCGATAGCTCAAAGCAAAGCCTTTTAAATATCGATAAACAGTTTAATGAAATAGTGTTTAAGGCAAATAATTTTAATAAAATGCTTTTTAGGTCTTTAAAATTTTTATTTTCACATTGATGGACCACGGTTTATAATTAGAAAACTTGACTGGTGTGATTTAATATAATAGTATTATATTATTATATTATAATATTATCTTATATTATAATATTATCTTTTTATATTATATTATTAATATTACAATACACACTCATATTTAGAATTTAAGCTGTAAACTTTTTGACTCTGCAAATTTTCCTCAATGCCATAAAGAGCCATCCGAAACATAAAACTTTGTATCCGGCCCTATATATATATATATATATATATATATATATATATATATATATATATATATATATATATATATATATATATATATATATATATATATATATATATATATATATATATATATATATATATATATATATATATATATATATATATATATATATATATATATATATATATATATATATATATATATATATATATATATATATATATATATATATATATATATATATATATATATATATATATATATATATATATATATATATATATATATATATATATGTATATATATATATGTATATATATATATATATATATATATATGTATATATATATATATATATATATATATATATATATATATATATATATATATATATATATATATATATATATATATATATATATATATATACACTTTACCGTATTATTCTTTGTCAAAAATATGAAAAAAGTGCTTGATTATTGTAAAAATACCTTTCACAAAAAACTCTTTTTCTGTATTTATTGTTATGACTTTTTGAACCAAATAATCAATTTTTTTTTAAATTCAACATAACATTTTATGATTTAATTAAGTTTTAGAATTTTTTTTTTTTAAGTTTTTGTTTTTTCCTGTTAATTAGTCACATTTTAGTCATTTTTCCGTTCAAAACAACGCTGACCAACCCAGCAAGAAATTATTTTTTTAATTTTTTTTTTTTTGCAGATTCGGAATCTCCATAAAATTCTTCACCAAAAGTAACCTTGCCGTTTTTGAAATTGAAAAAAAAAAGTTAAATCGACACACCCTACATCAAAAATTAAAATTTCATGGTATATTAAGTCTATACGCGTAATAAGACATTAAAATATTGATAACAGCATTTTCCACACATTTTTCTAAAATAAATTGTTTACTCATGATAAAAAGTTAAAATACTGATTACAAAACTTTCATCAGATCTTTCTTTGATTGCCACACAGACATTATAGCCCTTATGAACCCGTCTCTTCTCTCGGCACCACACACCTACATTAAAGCCCTGGTGACCTCTTTTACAATGCGTTCAATAGATTTACCGTGAATAGGGAAGTTTGGTACAACCATTGGATTGTTAATAAATTGTATAATATCATCTTTCATCAAACAACAAGTAAAAACCGGTTCACTGATCTCCTTTGTTTCCCAATTGATTAAATCTATTAGACTATTTGATTCAGTGTTTATCACTGGTATTCTTTTATTTCTGCATTTTCTGACTCCAACATCCTTTTTTTTTGTAACATCAATTATTCTGCCCAGCAAATCTGCTTTCTCCTTCATTTGAACTACAGAGCATTGTCTGAAGAATACATTTACTGTGTGCATTCGTGGCAGAGGAGCAGGCGAGCGGTAATACAATATGCCTTACAAACTTGTTCTGTTTCTTTACCAAGGCTAGTTGTTTAAAGATATGACGTGGACTTTGAATCCAGCTATGTTTAGTTTAAAGTCAATTACTTTTCTCTAGCATAATCAAAATTGTTTTATAATTACTAAAGTAAATTATAGTATTTAAGTAAATATTATATCTTTATTTACATAACTAAGTTTATTACCTTATGATCAAACCACATAATAGAATAAACACCCATGATGAACTTTGTTAACTATTTCAATTTTTGTAGATCTTTGTTTTCTAAACCATGCTCTGAGCATCAGATTCAAAGTAGTCTAATTGCAAGATTTAACCATCTTGAATGATTGTGTGGACCAATTTGAATCTCCTTTAAATCATCAGGAAAAACACTGATGCTATTGCATTATATATTCTTTTATAAATACTTCTGATCTTCAGACAGTGAATCTACAACTTCCTTCTCGAGATGAATTAGGTCTGCAACAAAATCAAGCTGAGGAATGTATGCCAAAATAAGAAGATTTGTTGCTATGTTAATAGGTTTTCCGATGCTTTATAAGAATCTATTTTCAGATAAAGTTTTTCCATCTAAAGTTAACGTTAAATGCCTAAGTGGCAATTCGTTGGTATGTAGCGCACAAATAATCCAGATAAGTTTGAATCCTAGTTTTTCTCTCAAAATTGAATAACTCCACTCTTCCAACCTATAATAATTTTTTATTTTCAGTAAAAAAAAATTTTCAGTAAAAATTTTTTATTTTCAGTAAAAAAAAAGAAGAAACATAAAATTTTAAACTACCATTTAAAGAAATAAAAGTATAACCTGTGTTAAGATTTGTTAATTGTAACTAATTGGTTTTCAACGCCATGTGCTATTATCCAATTATATTGTTGTTCAGCAATATATTTAGCAGATGTTCGAGCTATTCTCTCCTCTAAATTATTTACAAAGTGGAATAAATATTTTCCACCAGGTTCAGAACAGACGCAACAATGATCTTCTGTGATCTCCCTTGGGTAAGATTTACCATCATTGCCATATACAACTGTTTTTGCAAAGTCTTTTCTTTCATCGAATATTATACATTGTATACCCTCTTTCTTTACTTGATTGTTATGTCTCTCTTTACAGACCTTCATTACTCTTTGCATTGATCTCTCAGTTTTATATGATCTAGAGCTAGGTGTTAATCAAGTATATGATCTTTCAAAAAACCTGCATCTTTGGCTACTTTTAATGTTGCAGTGCCTATTGATGCAGTTGCTCTGTTACTTTTACCAAATCGTAATGCTGATAAAGCGATATAATTTACACTTAAGGTATTTCAGAAGCTTAGAAACTTTTTTTATTTCTGGTCAATAAATATTGTCATTATAATCATTCTCAGCATTGTCTGACTCCACATCATTTTGAGATTATACATCCGAATACTTTACAGTCTCGATCCTAACTCTCTTTGATTTATTCTGCTTTCTTTAATGATATTTTTTTTGTCTGGGTACTTTTTTTCTATCAACAAATCTATTTGCATTCCATTTTTAGAACTAACTTTATCCCTCTGTGACTTTAAAAACTTAAGTTCAATAATAGGAATTTTATTTTCCTGAGAACATTTGCAAAAAATATGAAAAACTCGGTTGCAACCATAACAATCGGATTCTTCGCATAATTTTGTTGAACATTTACACTTAGCTATGTCAAACAGTTTATCTAAGATTAATTTATGATCAGAAAGTTGCTTAGATGTTTCCCTACCTAACGCCAGATTATATGCTTTTTTCCAGTCATATATGATTCTTTTTTTTCTTCTTTTATCAGAGATAATGGGTATAAGTGGACTAGCTTTTTGCCATAAATATTTTACCGAGGTCTACAATATTTTAAAAGTTAGCCTTAAATTCTGTTTATTTACTTCAATTCTTCTAAGAAAGGGACCGTATCTTAAAACATCTCTTAAAGTTGACAGTTCTGTTTTTCCTGTACCAATTAGCTTTGTTAATTTACATTTAACTTTATTAAGAGTATTTTAAGCCATTCTTTATAACTGTAAACTTATTTCTATACAATAAATATTTGCGTTATTTCTTCTACTATTTAATAGCTAATAAGGGATCGTTCGCAAATTATGTCACGCTTTTAAGGGGAGGGGGTCATAGTTTTTGTCACAAGCTATGACAAGAAGCATTACTTATAATATATATTTTGTGATAAGGGGAGGGGAGGGTCTAAAAATTTGGTTTGTTGTGTGACATAATTTGCGAATGATCCCTAAAACTGTTACTAGTGGTCCGACTTTGGCGTACATTTTCTCAGTATCCTACGGTCAAAGACATAAAAAAAATGCCCAGCCAAACCTAAATTCAAAAATTATTCAAAATTGACCCACCGTAATATATAAGTACTCTTTTATACATATTTAAATTTAATATTTTAATATAAAAATAGTTTTTTGCATCTATTTTTATTATATTTATTTTACTGTTATATATTTCATATTTTTGTTCATTTTTTTTTAAATGAATATGTATAGGAATAAACAAATATTTAAATAAAAGTATAAATCTTAAACCCTTAGTCCATGTAGTAGCAATTTCTTGCATATTTTAACTATTTGTCAGGTCATACTTGTAATTTTCACTTTTCATCAAAAGTTGCGTACAGAGACCTTTTTCTTTTTACAAAAAAACGTATATTTTAAACAAAAAATTTCAACTGGTATAGAAAAATGTCCCTATTAAATTTGTCTCAGTAAGTGGAACTACAGGCTTATATGTATGTTTTATAAACTTTTTTAAAAATATTTTATCCTTGATCTTTATATAATATTTATTTTACAGATGTTACATTTTCTAAGCGTAATAATAAAAAACAAATGCTTGATTGCTTATTGTTATAGTTCATTAGTTTTAATGTAATCTGCGCGTCAATTCTGAATTTATCTTGTACATAATTATTGAATATTTTATTTTTAGGTATTTCTAGATAAAGCAGCAAAACGAGCTATACTGTCGTTGCCTATACGCTGTCGATATCATGAACGCAACTGTGAGTGGATTGGGGATATAAGTACGATTGATGTAAGCTTTAAAATGAATCTCTTTTTATAGATTTCTGTTTAGTAAAAAAAGTATATTAACAAAGATAAAGCAGGTCGTGTCAAAAACAAAATCTAGCAATATAAGTCTAATTTTATATTAATATATTAATATACTAGAATACATGTGAAAATATACTAGAATATATATTAATTTATACTGAAATAATAAATTATATACATCTAATTGTTAATATGTGTATCAGCCTTCTTTCTATTATTAGCAAGGTCTTTGAGTCTTCAATCGACAAATTTCTAATATCTCATCTTGAGTCTAATGACATACTTTCTGATATCTCTTCTTCGTTTCCAGTAAATTCTAGGGTACCTCAAGTTTTTATCTTTGGTCTTGTACTGCTTCTTATCTATATTAAAAATCTTCTTGACAATTTAACATCTAATCTTCTATTTGCTGGAAACTCAATTTTAAACTCATGTCATGACAAAAATCTTTTTTAAATTGCTTAGAACAGGCAGCCAATCTTGATCTGATCTCACTTCTGTAACAAATTAGGCCTTGCAATGGCTGGGGAATTTTAACTCCAACAAATCTGAGCTATTTACTGTAAACAACTGTTGCAATAGTTTCAACATTTTTATATTAATGAACGGCAACTCTCCCACTGAGTCCTTTCTTTACATCTTATAGGATTATAATTTACTACACGCTATCATGGAAACTATATATACAATCGATAGCAAAGTTATCAACAAGATATAGCAAAGTTATCAACAATCGATAGCAAACATCAACAAAGGTTATTTCGCTCTCTCCCATAATAGCAAGATTGCATCTTTTTCTTTTTTCTGCAAATACAATCATGGTTACTCCTCAAAGAAGCTATCACCTCTAGTTCCATCAACCAAAACTCATTCTTGCTTGACTTGTCATTAAGCTAAGTCTCATTCTTTTACAGTACCTATCCTTTAATGTTCAATAAACTTTTATTTGTTGAATTTTCCTTGCATTGAAATGCTTTGAAACTTTCTCCCATTTTCAAGTTTTTCTGACTAATACAACCTTTAATTTTTTTAGTAACATGCACAGTTATATTTCTATTTATTTATTTTATGAAAATATACGAAATGCTAAATTATAATCAGTTTTATTTTATTGTTAACAGGACCATCTTAAAGAATGTGGTTTTGTTGATGTTTCGTGTCCTAACAGTCAATGTCAGGTTTTAATAACACGAAACAATTTGTTGGACCATCTTGATTTATTTTGTGAGTTTCGCATTATTGATTGCCAATATTGCACCGAAAAATACATTTTCAATGACAAATGGGTTAGAATTTAGTTTTAAGCTCTAAAATAAAAATTTATATTTGTTTTTTGTATGTTTAAATGGGCCTAAAATAGGAATTTGATATATATATATATATATATATATATATATATATATATATATATATATATATATATATATATATATATATATATATATATATATATATATATATATATGTATATATATATTTAAAATTCCTGTTTTAGACCCATTTAAACATTTGTCCAATGCAGCCTTTGGAGTGCATCAACGAATGTGGAGAGAAAGGCATTTTACGGATGATGGTAAAACTTTTGTGTTTTTTTTTTTTTTGTTTTAAAATAAATTTTTTTTTCCTTATTTCGCTAAACACTTTATTTATACTAATGTGGTTTAGATAGCAAGTTTTACTTTTTATATACAGATGCCTAAACATGTCGAAAACGAATGCCCAGTTAATGTTCAATATTGTGAATATGCTAAAATCAAATGCGATTTTAAGGTATATACAAGTTCATTGTTCTCGGCTAAGAAATTATTAAGGGAACATTAATGTGTCACAGAAATTCACAGAAATTTAAAATAATAAATTTTATAAAATATTTACTTTTTTATTAATATATTAATATATAACTTTATTATATATTAATATAAAAGATTTGTTAATATTTAAAATTAAATAATTTCGTATAAAAATATTTAAATTTACAAATAAAAGTAACAAAATAAAATAATTTTAAACACACTTAAAATAATAACAAATTAATTGTGAACAATAAATTCATACTCATACGTTTTTTGAAATAATATAGAAATGTTTTCCTTTGAGTGTAAAAATGTTGACTATAATTCATAACAATATTGCCTAATTGATAACCGTAGTTTGTATTTGAAAAAAGATACTTTCATATTTATCAAATACTGTTTTCCATGTTTTATTGCGCTGATATCATTTAAAATACGTCTTTGATTGGTCTGTCTTTGATTAGTTTCCAGCACTGAAACTTTTTTACATTAAGTTAATTTTTACATTAAGTTAATTTTTTTTTTAATTACATTAAGTTAATTTTTACATTAAGTTCATAGTATTTAAAAAAAACACTTTACCATTTAAAAGTCCATTTACAAAGCTTCATTCATGATTGATACAATTAAAGCTTTATTCATCATTGATATCGTCAAAGCTTTATTCATCATTCACATCACAAAAGCCTCATCTATCATTGACATTATCAAAGCTTCATTCATCATTGATATCATCAAAGCTTCATTCATCATTGAAAACATCAAAGCTTTACTCACCATTGATATCATCAAAGCTTCATTCATCATTGATACCATAAAAGCTTCATTCATTTTATTTTCATTATCCAGATTACTGATGAAGTAAGTTTGAAGAACAAGGTCTAAATGATGTAATTGTTGGATTTAATATTGGTTATTAATAATAATTTTTATGCTTATTTAAATTTATTAAAATCTTTTTATAGCATAATTCGTTTTGTCAATGTAGTAGTTCACTAAAAATACCTAGTTACTTAAATATTATTTCAACTGAAATCGTCTCAACTATTATTTTTTTTAATATAAAAACTTCGTTAACTTCAAACTTTATTTTACTAAATATATATTAAAAGCCTTACTCATTATTCCTAAAACTGGAATACTATTTGTCTATTTTTAAAAGACTTTATTCCAATTTAGTTTCACTTATATCATTAAACCTCCTGATTTTGGGTTTCTTAAACTTATACCCCATTCATACTGACGATAACATACAATTTATTTTAAAAACGTATTAAATATGTTATTGTAAAATGCTGTAAAAAACAACATTAAAACTATGCTGTTAGGTTGTTTTTTCTATATAAAAACTATGCGTTAATATAAAACTCACCATGTTGTTTTATACAGTTTATAATATTAGAAACTTAAAAGAAGTTTAAAATAGAATTATTAGAATTTAAAAGTATTATTAGAAATAAAAGAATTAGTCTAAAACACATATACGCACAATCAAGTTTTACAAATGATTTTTGGTATGTAATCAGATAAAATAAATTATAGTTTGTATTAGAACTAAATACATTTTAAAGATTATAAAATAATCTTAAAGATTACCTTTCATAGTTTTCGTATTTTAGTTTTCATAGTTTTCGTATTTTAGCTTTCATAGTTTTCGCTTTTTAGTTTTTTATTCTTTCTATAAAAAAATTTTTCACGAGTAAGTTTTAGCAAATTGGAAGTCTTCCGTAAAGTACGCACGCAGAGGAGGCCTCCCTTTCTGTTTTTTCTTTCCTCCGTTTGTGTAATTTCCTCCAGAGGGAATTACACAAACACGTATGAATGCGTACAAGAGGGGAAGGTTTTAAAGACAGCAAGTACGTACGCGGTTTGGCTATCTCTCCTAAAACTTGATTTCTTTTTTTTCAATAAAAGTATCGAATTTGACTAGCCCAAAAAATCAATATTATGTTAGGTAACCTAGATAACTGTTACTTTAACAAAATTATTTTCATTTTTAATGATTTGAAAAATTTATGCGTTAAGCAAAGAAGAGTTGATTTTGAAACAAATAATGCGTACGTAAGCAGAGGGAGCAGGTTGTTGAAAGCATACAGGTGCCTACAATAGGGAAGGGGATCTTAAATCAATGGTTTTACTGCGTATGTACTTTATGGATGCTCACTTGCCTCAAATCTTGGGAGTTCTATTTTTTGAATTCAAAATTATTTTCTCTTAAACTTTTTAACCATCATTTGTTAAACTTTTTTTGAAAAAAGTTATCTTTAAATTTTTGAAAAGAAAGAAAAAATAATTTTTATATTTTAAAAATAGTTTTTGTTTTTATGACAGGGAACCCAAAGTCAAAGAGATGCTCATGTTATTTCTTCAGCAAACCTTCATCTTACATTGTCAATTGAAAAAATTACAAAACTTGAAAACAAATTTAGTTACCAGGTAGAACAAGCGACAAACCTGGCCATAAAATATGATGCATTAAAAAAAAAAGAGGATTTACTGGAGGCTTTAATTCGAACTGTTGAGAGACAAATTAGTAGTTTAGAAAACAAACTTGTTAACATTGACACAAAAAGTTGTTTGTTCGAATCCCGTTTACCAAAAAACGAGTATTTATGGTGTTTGGACAGTATAGATTTTCTGATAAATAAAGAGAAAAAACCAATGAAAGATCTAAACATTTGCAGCACCCCGTTCTATTCAGCTCCGTTTGGATATAAACTTTCTATGCAAATCTATTTGAACGGATTAGGCAAATACAGAGGAACAAATATTTTATTGTTTCTTAATATTATAAAAGGTGAGTACGATAGTTTATTGGAATGGCCATTTACAAAAATGGTCAAACTTTCTCTACTTGATCAAAGCGAAGCAAGAGACCATAAGGTATTTGTAATTGATCCAAAAATAAATGAAAACTTTAATAAAGCGAATTCGTATATAAAAAGAGTTGGGGTTACAATACCTCTAAAACTATTAACTTGCCCTGGTTATTTAATTGAGAATAAAATAATAATTAAGTGTGAAGTGGAATCATAAAATATCGAAACAATATATCGTGGATCATTAAAATATAAAGTATGAACAAATTAAAAGAAAGAAATAATCGTATTTTCATGCACTGTATAAAATATCATATAAAAAAACATATATATTCAAATGCAATACCATATTTACAAAGTTTCCTCACAAATACTTTCGTATTTACAAACATTACTTATGCAAACTACATCGATTTTTAATTTAACAAAACGTATTTTACAGCAATGTGTGTATATATATATTAGGGTGGAGTGAAAAAAAATTTTTGTTGAGTACCTTGGTTGGATAGCTATAAAAATTTGCTGACATATGCAATTAGTAATGTGGCAAACTATCAAACAATTTAAAGCATATCTTGAGGTTCCACAATTGACCTGAATTATAGGCATATTTCAAATAAAAAACAATATTTTTTGAAATTTCAAGTTTATATATGACAACATATTTGTGTAGCAGTATACATTTTTAACAGTCTATACGAAAGTTACAAGTAAATAGAACTAAATATTTGAAAAGAAAAACACATGAAAACTCTAGTCAAACATGTTTTTATAGCTACAAATGATGTTGTGCTTTAGTGTCCAGTTTCGGCATTTTTGATCTCGATTCCAAACGTGCTCTTATGACTCCGTCGCGTTTTTCTGGACCGCAAACCGCTTGGGAAGCTTCTGTAACTAGCTTAATATGCCTCTCCACCGACTGAGTGTGACAAGGATAGCGTGCGAAATCCAGTCTTGGTGTATCTTCTTCCCAGATCATGGTTAAAAAAGTATTGTCATCAATGTCCATTACGATTGGAGGCTCTGTGATTGGAGTTTTTTGCCAATCGATCATGTCTATGTAACTGGTAGCTTCAAAAATGATTACTGGCACACAGAAAGATCTAACTGAACTCGTGCGCTTCTGCTTCCTGGATTTCATTATACGTCTCAGAGCCAACTCGCGTATTTCTGATTTTTCGTCGGTAAGCATCGCAAGCAACAGGTTTTCTGGATGAGTAAAAAATGCGTTGCGTTGAATTACTGGATCAACAACTTTCTTCAGCTCGTCTGTGAGGTAGCGTGATTTCAGTATTGTATTATGGACATGTCGAGCGCCATCTTTACATGAAGAAGTATTTTTTATTTCAAACCATGCTGGTGCATAAACTGTTACGATGAAGGTAACCATTGTCTTTAGTTCATCCGATGGGCATCTTGTGGCTATATACAGGTGTAGTATTCGATTAGCCGTTGTTAACCATCTTGAATGATTGATAACACCAGGATTGTGAAGTGAAAGGCCTACAGGACAAACGCCAACACTGACAGCGGTGCACAAGTCAAACAGATATTTTTGATCTGTACTTAAATCGTCAGAAATTAAACCTGTCGGTAGAACACAGTTTATGGGTGTGTATTTGACAACGGGAAGCTTCTCACATGCCACCAATGATTTTCCGATTGGACCAGAAAATTCTTTTGGACCATTGGTAGGTCCATCTAGATGTTCGAACAAATGCCTTAACGGTAATTCGTTAGCATGCAGCTGACATACAAACCATTGCAGCGGTTTCTTCAACGCCACTTCAAGTAATCGAATGATACCTCCTCGATTGCCTGTATTAGCAACGGTTCCGTCACAACCTACAACTTTTATACCACCCAGGTCAACATTCTTTTTACTCAAATATGCAATCAACTCACCCGCAATAACTTTGCTTGACCCTGCAATTGGTGTAATGTGGCCAAAATAGATGGATCTTGGTTCGGATATAATGGATATATGTTCTCCAGTTGTTAGTTTTCAATGAAATTTCCCATCACATTCTTTAATAAGGGTTATTGCACTGTCTTTTCTTCCATCAAAATATAGCCCAGTGATTGTGTTACTGACATTGGCACATAATGTTCCACGTTTTTTACAACGCTCTCGTCGCACTTTACTTCTGTCAATCACTTTAGAAACATCCCTTTTGTGGATTATTCCAACATCTTGAAGAACAGCACTGGCGATTCCTGCTGCGGCCCTGTCGGATACACCATGTCAATCACATGCTAACGCCAGAGATGGTAACTTAACTCTCATCTGCTTGTCACTCAACTTTCTAAATTGTTCATTAGCATCCGGCATACAATCGTCATCAGATTCGTCATCGCTAGCATCAGTTTTCTCTTCCGTAGAAGAAAACTCCTCACAAACATCTGACTGTTTCTCACTGATGTCATCAATGTCAGATTCGCTGCACATCTGCCTCTGCGTCAACTCTTTACGAATATATCGTTTTTGCAATTTGATGGATTCGGCCTCATCAACTTTAGCAATGATCATACCTCGTGGACCCCGCTGATCTTCTAGAAAATCACGTTCAATTGCGGGTACCTTTCTTGACTTTTCACACTGACACTGAGATATGAAAGAACACTTGCAGGAGCAAATGTCAAAGAATTTTTTGGATTCATTTTTAAACTGAGATATTTTCTCTCGGTATGGTCCGGAGTCTTTTCTAGACTTATATGGCTTCAGCAAATTCCTGAACGTCTTGTAGTACTTGTTCAACAATTCTTGGACACGGCGGTGGCTTACATGTGGTATAGAAGCTTTGTCCCATATTTGTTCCACTTTTGTTGTCACTATTTCTGCCACATTGTGATGTGGTGGATCTTTATTGCTCAATTCATATTTAAGTTTCTGTTTTGTCAGATTGTAAAACTACATAACATCTGCATAAGTAGGTAGTTGATTGTCAGGCATTTCAGAGGGAGCATCAAGAATGACACAAGATACTTTTTTCCTGGTTACAGCCATTAAATATGAATTGTTATTATAAATGAATTAAAGCATTATCTTATATGAATAAAATGTTTTGCAATAAACGCTGTTTGTTTACTCTGGACAGGAAAAACGCACGTGAATACGTATAAAAGTGAACTACAACAAAAAAATACCGGATAGTAAATGCTTATAAATGGTTAAATTTTGAAGTTGGTTGTGGAACCTCAAGACGTTACCTAAATTATTTTTTTTTTTTACGGAGTAATTGATTGTATCACAGAGCAAGTTTTAATAACTATCCAAAGTCAAGCAAATTGAAAAAAAAAATTTTTCACGTTTTCACTCCACCCTAATATATATATATATATATATATATATATATATATATATATATATATATATATATATATATATATATATATATATATATATATATATACACACACATACGTATGTATGTTTGTTTGTTTGTATGTATGAATGTATGTATGTATGTAAAGTGGATATATAAATGTATGTGAAGTGGATATATATATATATATATATATATATATATATATATATATATATATATATATATATATATATATATATATATATATATATGTTTATGTTTATGTTTTTTATGTTTTTTTATGTATGTTTGTGTTCTGTCTGAACCTCTGGCGCGGTGTTGACTCACCCGTAAGTTGATTTATGTTTGTTTGTGTTCTGTTTATACTCTAATGCAGCGTGAGCTCAGTAACTAACTACTTACTCCAACTACAAAACCTACACTCACCTTAGACTCCTGTATTTTGTTAGATGCAGTGTTTTCCTAATGACCTTCCGAAATATCATGCCTGGTTTTCTCAAAGTACTGTTGCGGGAAGTAACTCCTTTTAACTACTCCAGGTCAGGTCAGGATAATTGAGACCAATCTTGCTACTGGTATCACGTAACCCAGTACCACCTGCCACAAGCCCTGCTGCTTTGCAGAGTGTGCTCTTCTTAGGCAAAAGCTAGGAGAAATAAACTCCGACTAAAAATTCCCCTGCCTTGGGGCACTTGGTTGAGTAAAGGCTAGAGATGGTGTCTCGATAAAAACACTCATCTTGGGCAGATGTTAACTGCATCCAGCTAAACATCCCCTGCCTTGGGGCTCTTGGCTGAGTAAAGGCTAGAGATGGTGTCTCGATAAAAATACTCATCTTGGGCAGACGTTAACTGCATCCAGCTACTGTCTTGTAAAAAGCCTCCTACGCAAAGACTTTAGGAGTAAGCAGAAAAATTCTGCTAACCAGCCTCAAACCCCTTCTTCATTTATTAGGCTGGCGTAGATGTAACCTGTGTTACATTGTTTCCTGCCTAAGATGATGAATGCTGGATCTCCTTGACTCTACTCATAGAATTTTGCTTATGCCTCCTTGATAATGGCTATGTAACTCTTCCTGTTATCTCCATATGAGGGTACAGCTCTAAAACTCAGTTTAATGGTTCTGAGGCCGGCTGATAGTAAGGTTTCCGAACTCTGTGGTAGCTCTCAGAGAGGCTGATTCCATCAATAGCTGCAAAATATCAGAGTATTAACAGTGCCATGTTGCGCATGGATGGTGTCCCTTTTAATGCTTTTGGTGTGCATTGTCAAGGCCATATAAGGAGCCCTATGTCACGGCTTAGGGTTAATTAACAGGACAGAGACAACTGCATAGCTCATTGATTAAGAGGCTGTGCTCTATCTATGAATGATTCAAGTTCTCAATAAACCCAAATCATTACCAAAGTAACCAAACATTTAAAACCTAAAAAACCATCCCCACCACCTAAACATTTTAATATATCTTTTACAAATATTCGCGGTCTACGAAGCAACTTTCCATCAGTTAAGTCTTACCTCCTGCAAAATTCACCAGACTTGCTTGCACTCAGTGAAACAAATTTAAATTCTGCAATTCCTTCTTCAGATGTCAGTGTTGATGGCTACTATCCTTTGATTCGTAAAGACTCCAATAGTCACATGCTAGGTTTAGGGGTATACATACGCATTAATTCCCCTATTTGTCGTGAAATCAGGTTCGAATCCTTTGACCATTCTTTTATGTGCTTTCGCCTAGCACCTCTTCACTCTATCGCCTTTCTCTTTGTTCTTTATCGTTCTCCTTCTTCCCATGATTGCACTCTCTTAGATGTTATCTCTGATCAAATTGACCATGCCCTCTCTCTTTACCCCTCTGCCAATATTGTCGTTGTTGGTGATTTTAATGCCCATCAAACTGAATTACTTGGCTCTAACACCAGTGATCCTGCTGGCACTAAAGCCTTTAACTTCTGCGTTTCTCAATCTCTTACTCAGATAGTTAACTTTGTGACTCGATTTCCTGACAACCCTAATCATTTACCTTCACTCCTTGACTTATGTCTTGTCTCTGACCCTAGCTTATGTTCAGTTTCTCCCTTTTCTCCCTTAGGTGGTTCTGACCATGCAATGATCTCTATAAATCTTTCTTCTCGTACTTCTTTTTTGGGCTCACCTTATCATCGCACCACCTACTACTACCCTAAAGCTGACTGGGATTCCTTTCGTAATTTTCTTCGTGATGGTCCTTGGGCTGATGTTTTTTCTCTCTCAGCTGACAAATCCGCCTCCTACATAACCTCCTGGATTCAGGCTGGAATGGAAGCTTTTATTCCTTCGCGTCGGTTTCAAGTCAAGCCTCATTCTACTCCATGGTTTTCTCCTTCTTGTCCGGCTGCTATATCTAATCGTAATCATTTTTTCCATCTTTTTCAAAAGAGCAACTCTCTTGAGAACAAACGGCTATTTATTATTGCAAGAAATCGATGTAAAAAGGTGCTTTCTGATGCTAAACTCCATTATTCTCAGTTCACTAAATCTCGCATCTTATCGCAGAAGTTAGGCTCTAAAGACTTTTGTAAAATCTTCAACAGCATTATTAACAAGGGTAGATTTAACATTCCATCTCTCATTCATGGGACTGATCTTATTACCTCTCCCAAGGATAAGGCAGAACTATTTGCAAAGAACTTTTCTTCTAATTCCACTCTTGAATCTTTGGGACATTCTCTTCCTTCCATTCCAGTCAAACAGGTTGACCCATTGTTAGACATTCAAATCACTCCGGCTTCTGTTGCTAAAGTCATATCTCAATTAATCTCGTCTACAGCTTGTGGTCTAGACAACATTCCTGTCACAGTCTTGCAGAATTGTTCTCCAGAACTTTCTTCAATTCTCTCTAAACTATTTAACAAGTGTTTGACTGAGTCTTGTTTTCCTGCTTGTTGGAAAATGGCATCTGTGGTTCCAATATTCAAAAACTCTGGAGAAAATTCTGACCCCTCCAATTATCGTCCAATCAGTCTTCTTTCTGTTATTAGCAAGGTCTTTGAGTCTTTAATAAACAAATTCCTCACATTTCGTCTTGAGTCAAATAAACTGCTGTCAGACAATCAATACGGTTTTCGATCCTCTCGCTCTACGGCCGACTTGCTAACTGCTGTAACAGAAAGATTTTATCGTCCATTAAATGGAGGCGGTGAGGCTAGGGCTATTGCTCTCGATATATCTAAAGCTTTCGACAAAGTTTGGCATGCTGGTCTTCTCCATAAGCTTGCTTCATATGGTGTTTCTGGGAAAGTTTTTGAAATTATCAAATCATTTCTTTCTAACCGGTTTATTAAAGTCATCCTTGAAGGCCAACACTCTTCTTTATTTCCAGTTACTTCTGGGGTTCCCCAAGGTTCCATCCTGGGCCCTGTTTTGTTTCTTAACTACATAAACAATCTTCCTGACAACCTTTCATCTAAAGTAGCTCTTTTTGCTGATGACTCAACTTTATACTCCTGTCTTGACAAAAAGTCTTCTCTTTTCGATCGCCTAGAACAAGCAGCTGATCTTGAATCCGATCTCACTTCAGTAATAGATTGGGGTTTACAGTGGCTTGTGAATTTCAACTCTAAAAAAACCCAGTTGCTTACTGCAAACAACTACCGTAATATGGTCAACATTCCTATATTAATGAATGGCAATCCTTTTACTGAGTCGTCCTCTTTACGTCTTCTTGGATTATCGTTTACTACTGACCTTTCATGGAAACCATATATACAATCGATTGCTAAATTAGCTTCTGCTAAGGTTGCTTCTCTTTATCGTGCTCGCCATTTTCTTACTTCTGATTCCATTTTCTACCTCTACAAATCTCTTATTCGTCCCTGTATGGAATACTGTGGTCATATTTGGGCTGGTTCTTCTAACGATTCACTTTCTCTTCTTGACAAGGTCCAAAAACGTTTGTAAATGTTGTTGGACCTGGACTATCTGCTAAGCTTGAACCTCTTTCCCATCGTCGTAAAGTTGCATCTCTTTCTCTTTTCTACAGATACTATCATGGTCACTGCTCAAAGGAGTTATCATCTCTAGTTCTATCAACTAAAACTCATTCTCGTTTTACTCGTCATTCAGCTAAGTCTCATTCGTTTACTGTATCTGTCCCTGCATGCTCTAAAAACTTTTATTCATCTAGTTTTTTTCCCCACACTTCAATCTTTTGGAACTCTCTCCCATCTTCATGTTTTCTTGACTCATACAACCTTCAACTTTTCAAGTCTTTTGTCAACCGTTTCCTTGCTCTATAAATCTGTTCTTTTTTTTCCTAGTAACTCCCAACTTGATAGTGGTTGCTTGCAGCCTTGTTGGGATATATATATATATATATATATATATATATATATATATATATATATATATATATATATATATATATATATATATATATATATATATATATATATATATATATTTAGTTATGTATATATATTTAGTTATGTATATATATTTAGTTATGTATATATATTTAGTTATGTATATATATTTATAAAAGAGACGTGAACTTTCAATTAAATGCTCATCCGCGGTGCTCTGTGATAAGACCATGAGGACTTCTAGGGGCAATTTACTTTTAAAATTTAAATATATACATATATATATATATATATATATATATATATATATATATATATATATATATATATATATATATATATATATATATATATATATATATATATATATATATATATATATCGTCGGGATAAAGCAAATCCGCGAATCTACTACAGGTAGAGAGCGCGTATTTGCATTGCAGATAGTTTTACAGGAGAAGGTTAAAACTGTATATTTTTTTTTCTAAACAGATTTTGAGCTCATTTTGGCATAAAGAGTTTTATTAATGTTCTTTTTATAGTCAATAACAGCTATTAGGTGTTATAGTTAATAATTTAGTCGCTAGAACACTTACGCGGATTCGATTTAAACACA